GTGTGAACTGTTGCCTGATCACAGTGTGCGCCTCGTAGCAGCACTCCTGCTGTGGCCAAAAGGTGCTGTGGTGAAGCAGGGGGGAACGTGCTCAGGGCCTGCTACAGGGCAGACTGAGAAGCTGCACTCGAGTGTTTCTCTTTGTGCCCAGACTGAACTAGGCAGCTCAGTGCACAGATCCTGCCTGTAAGTGACATCCACAGGAGCGTGTGAGTGTGTGAACTGTTGCCTGATCACAGTGTGCGCCTCGTAGCAGCACTCCTGCTGTGGCCAAAAGGTGCTGTGGTGAAGCAGGGGTGAAGTGCATAAATAATCTGCTTTAAGGTAGAAACATACTGAGGACACACATGCAGTATACATGTGTGACATATGTGCACACATGTGCAAAGACATACACATGTTAAAAGATTTGTTCATCGACTTCTAGAAGCAAAATCTGGAAGCAATGACTGGACTTAAATCAGGTGGGGTGCTTTTTTCAGACACAGCTGTCCACCCGAGTGAGAAAATCTGGCTACTCTTCTTTAAGAAGCAGTAGTGAAAGAGTGATTACCTTTGACAAAACAAAAAAGCAAAGAACTGGACGTTGCTCGGTGACATTTTACACAGTGAGACTATGAGTCCAAGGAATGGAAAAGTCATGTGGCTACCTTAGACCACCCACCATTGCTTTTACCTTAGTAAGATGTAGTTACTCATGGAGTAGAATTCAAAATTAGAATCTCATGACTCACCTTGTTGCACCTAAGTAGGGATAATGATCTAGATCTTTCCAAAGTGACTCAAACTGATGAAAAGCTTCACATGAGAATGAAGCATTACTGCAGTGACTACAAAAATATACAATATTACACTGTATTTTCAGGATTTCTCACAGCCTTGTTGGGGAATCATTAACTCAGCTCTCTATCCCATCGGTTATTTTCCATTCAATTTTTTGTTGGTAGACACTCAATTATCTGTGTTTTTCCTGTCTATATTTATTGTTCTATTTATTGCAGCCCTTGCCTTTGCCTGCTTTACGCCAGCCTTTCTTCTTCTGCAATTGCAATAGGAAAACAGTCTGGGAACCCAGAAGGTATCTGATTCTTCCTGTATCATGAGGGCTGCAGACATGCTCTGTTGCTATTTGTGGAGACTGTCAGAAACAATGACAGTATGAGAAACAAGAGAGTCTTGCACCTTCCGCACATGTTACCTTGGCACTACCAGGAGAAGCTACCGTCTGAAAGCATCATTGCTCAGGTTCAGTCTCTTTGCATGGCCTCTGAGTAAGGTTAGCGATTAATATGTGTAAAATTCTGACAGTTTGAAAGCCTGTTTACAGCTTTCTAGCATAAAGAAGAGATCCCTCCAGACCAGCATGCTCTGATCGTCCTGCACCCAGCACTTTAACGGGTAAATAGGTATGTGAGCGCTGGGCACACACATGGTGTTAGGCAGGATGGGATCACGAGGGAAGGCAGAAGAGGAAGGTTATGACAACTTGATAACAAGCGACTCTGATGTCACCTCTCAACCATTTTCACTCATGCAAATAACAACCAAGCCTTGAACTGAAGCCAAAATATAAATAGCTCGGCAATTTCAGAAAAGGTTTGAGAACTGAATTATAGCTCTGCAATGCAGATAGCTCTGCCGTCCTGTGGGCAGGGTGGATAGACCCTGCGGTGCCTGAACTCGGACAAAAGGTCCGTCTCCCCTGCGCACAGCAGAAGCAGGGGTGGATCGCATGCACCGCCACAGCCCGTCACCAACCAAACCCTTCGGAGATGGGCAAGGACAGAAGCGGGTAGCGCAGCCCTTGGTAGGATCCTGGGCAAGGAAGGCGCCGCGTAGGGAGAGGGCAGGAGATGCCTGGGCACGGAAGGGAGGCAGGAGGAGGAGGGGTCGGTGTATAGGTGAGCTTCCATCTACCCGTGGGACTTCTAGAGGGCAGACCAGGACAGACTGCTCCCTTCAAAACCTCGGGCGCCCGGTTCCTTCCCACACAACTGACGAACTCTTCTAAGTGACTGTCCGCTTACGGGACTGCAATTACCCTGCTGCTTCCACATCCCACAACGTTTCCAGGTGGAGATTCTCTTTGATTGAGGTATTAAAAGCACCTGGTTTTAATAAAACAAATTGGAACAGCCAAACACCCCAGCTCCTCCCCCCCTAGTAACTTAAGCGTATGTATCTGTACACATTAATGACAACACTTTCTCAACAAAAATAAAGGTGTGTGATTTAATGTGCATGTTTATACTAAATACTTGCGAGTCAGTTAAAATGTGAAGCCTTTTTGAAAAATTCCTGTGATGAAACAGTAATGTTAGACCCACAATTATTTCAAACTGTTTGCTGCCCCGAATCTGGAAGTCCCATTCTGAGTTCGGAGAGCAGAGTATCCTCCATTTATTGCTACTCTGTTTCAGTAAGAATCATTTCCATGATTCTCACCTGTATGTCCTATGTTGTGACTGAAACGACAAGTCATTAACTAACCAGGTGCCTACACAAGACAGTTAGGGTTTTCAGCCATTCTGAGCTCAGTAAAGAACATGAATCAACTTAAGCTATAGACATGCAGCTCCTTCCAAGTGCTTTCTGCACTAATGTCTTAAAATTTTAGCTAGTGTTTTAGGTTTCCCTTCCTCAACTGCTGCATCTAGAAGGAAGGTTATGCATTAACACAAGAAACAGATCCACTGGCTAACATGCACCAGGCAGGCTGAAGGATAAATGTAGAAACCCTGGAAAAGAAGTGTGGAAATGAAATGCTTTCTGCAGTGGCTCGCCAAGTCCCCTTAGGGTTAAGCTAAAAGATGAAATGTACGCTTCTTTCCGGCATTTTACAGAAAACATCTCAGTGGCAAAACAAACAGTTGCTTCTTGATACTGAAGTAAGGCAAGATGAACCAGAAAACCAAGCTGATGTGATCAACGTGAAACCACAGAAGAGGCACAAGCTACCAACCTTGTATACTCCAGAACTAGTAAAACCAGTAGCGAGTCTTAGTGAAACTGAGGCTGTACACAGGACCCTTTCAAGACATTGGCCACCGCACACTCTGCCACCTACTCCAGCAGAGGGGTCTTCATCTCACAGAGACCTAAGAGCTCGGTGGCACCTCTTTGCCCAAGGGAATATTCTCCATTTTGCCCATTTTTTTTCTCTGTAGAGCAGTTGCAAGCAGCATGCTGGCCTCACTAGCACACCAAGAGGATTCAGTGCCTGCTTGGATCTTTTGTCTGTCAGTTACATCAAAGAATAAACATTTCACAGAGCTGCCAAGTTACTTAACCTAGTGACAAAGCAGATCAGGACATCTGAATTCCATTCCAACTACTGCACTGCAACCAGCAGGCACAAAATCACCTCCCTTTTCCTTTTCAAATAGTTCCTTGAAGTTAGTATATGTTTACACTTTTTTTTTTTTTTAGTTTGAGAGATGTATTTGGCAACATGTTCCAAATGACCGATCTTTTGCATGAACACCTATCCCTTTCACCTTCACCCATGAAAGCGGAAACTGAACAACCAAACTACTTCCTACTGAGTACATTGATCTAGCTGGACCAACTAGGAAATTCTAAATCCCAACTAGCGGCTGTTAAAAACAGTATGAGTCTTTCCTCGAACAATGATTAGAGTAAAATTAACATTTCATCTATGTTTAAGAGCCCTGACAGTAGTTTTTTGTTTTTTTTTTTAAAGCAGCTGGAAACTAAAAAATGGCATTAGTGCTATTTCCAGAGAAGCCACAAAAATCTAGACTACTTCAGGCCATACTGTGATCTAGAATCCTTATGCCGGGAACAACTTCTCACACCAGAGGAAAGACCTGCCAAAGGTCTGTCATTACTCGGCCATCAGCATCAAGGGGAAAGGATTTGCCTTCCCAAATCATCAGGAGAGCTACAGCCCTTTCATCACTGGCAGCTTTGGTTACAACGTATTAGTAGTGCTCCAGCAGGCACCTAATTTGAGCACTTTAAACAAAGTCACTTCATGAAGTCTCTGACCTTCAAACAAGAATGTCGTTAACACCCGACAGAAAACGCTCTGCTGAGAAGGGGGGTGGGACATCTTTAATATGCATCCGTTAAACACATTTACCTATTACAAATATAAAATGCAAGGACTTTTATACATAAATTTATTGTGCAAAGAATGATTTTTCATGCTCATTTACAATGAAATAATTAAGATTTAACAAAAAATCATGCCATTGCTTCAATTCAGCACTAAGCCGAGTATTTACATTCAAGTTTACATATTTGTTCAAGTTCCACAGATGATGCTTTCAGATTTACTTAAGAATGCACCTTCAAATCAAATGTTTGCATTTTTTTTATATATATTAATCAATGTCTCAGAGATTTGCTGGAAATGAAAACTTGTCTTTCGGCGCAGCACCCTTATTTCCCAGTTACAGTGCAGGACAAGAACAACTTGCAGAAACAAACATCACAAACATCCTTTAGCCTCTACTAGCGAGGCTTTGCCAACTTGCTGCAGGATTACAGGATTATATCTTTGTATACAGAACCTCCTTTAGATCAACCTTGCAAGAAGATTGTGCCCTAATAAAAATATATTTTTTAATAATAGCACCTAACCCACATTTCACTGCCCAACAAGTCTTAAAAGTAATGTTTTACAACAAAAACTATTCAGTAGTTCACAAAGAGTTAGAAAACTTTTTCAGTGTGCAGAATTCAAACTGTGATATTTTCGGTGCTTCTTCTCCAAACCCTATGATCCAAGACAAGTCCAGACTTCATTTCACTTTTTATTAACTCTCCCAAAAACCTCTTGCTCTTTGAACAGTGGTGGCTGATACAGGCATCTCAGTTATCTTCCCTTTTTAAGATCTCAGAATTAATAAATAAACTCTGAGACTGTTAGGAATTATAGCTCATCTGGGTCCTGTTGAACATTTTAAAATGCAGTAACGTTTTTATTTACTTTCAGAGTTCTGTTTGCTGTCAATTTTAATTCACACTTCCATTATCAGTGTTTCAGCTTCTGTTTGTGTTTGAAAGGGGCCCATAATAACAAAAGCAGAATCAGAGTATCCCTGCCAATACCCTGCCCTGATTATTACATAAAGTTGAAAAACAAAGTGCAGCGATTGTCTTTGATTTTGGTCATTAATGATGTGGCAAAATACCGATTTTGAAGATGCAAACCTAAAATTCCCACATTTTAAACAATCTTTGTATTTGCCAGAGACTATTTCACTTTCTTGGACTTCATGTTGTGACATCTCCTCCAGAACTTGTGGGTTGAGAAACCGCTGTGGAAGGCTGAACTGGTAACATTTCTAATTCAGATTCACGTACAAAGATGACGGCATCTCCACTAACATTTATTAAACACTGGGCCTGAAAAAAGGGACAAGATGCAGTTACCAAACATTAAATATTTTACAGTGTTTATTACAGCTGCTAGAGACAGGTACATAACTAGCAGAAAGGTGGACAGAGATCACAGACATGCAAAGAGATCCTTGCAAGACTCCCATAAATGAAGTGTTTGGGTATCTCCCTTCACTACTGCTTTGAAAGCATTTCACATACTCTAAAGACCAGAATTAGCTGCCCTCCTTATTGGTAAGTTTTCTCCCTTTAGAGCCAAAATATGGCATTTTATATATAAGCAACTCCACATAAGGATGAATATAACATCACGTCATTAGGAAAGCTAAATAAATCAACACTAATGTTTCCTGCAATTTACTTCAGTGTAGTGACTTGAATATTTTTACCCACTTAGGTATTTAAGATGCATTTTTTGATTTTCGTGTTATATGGGAGAGGAGGAGGGAGTTAAAATGGCCTTTATTTCTTTAAAGAAACATGAAGAGAAATTCAAAGTGTTGTGGAGACACAGCTCTACAGCTGTTGCTTTTCATATACAACATACACAGGTCTATCATCCTAATCATAATAGCAGTATTATTTCATATCACATTTACCTGATTTTTGTTTGGGTTCTCCATGAAAACACACTGCTTCATTATATATGAGACAACTGCATTTCCCCCTAAAGCTGCCACGTGGGCTCTCACCATTGCGAACACTTCAGCAATAAAAGCGTGGAGAAAACCACTGACACCACCCTCCTAAAATGGAAGAAAATACACAAAACATGTCACTTAAGTGTCACTATAAGATGCTGAATATGTTTCTTGCAGTTTACCGGCTGAATATTCCAGTGAGTCCAACAGAACATGCCCAGAACTTAAACACTACTCTCCAAGGAATACAGAAACACTCTTTAACGGGTCACTAGTTAAAATCAGATTCACGGAATCTACTGGGTGAAATTAAGAAAAAACTCGGTTATTCATTTTTGACTGTTATTTGCAGTCATTACACTACATTTACTCACCCATACTTTTCAGACATTCCCGCAGCTTTGCTGGAGCATACAATATTCCTCTGGCCCCTGTGTAAGGCTATTTTCTCCCATCACTTTTTTGAAAGTGGGGAAGCAGGTACAGTTTCTACTGGAGTGAGGATGAAAAGGGAGTTAACTTCCAGGAAATGACAGGTAGGAGCCTCCCATCACCTTTGGTCAGCGTGACTTCATAGCTGCTAATGACTGCCATTAGTTTTCACCCTTCACTGTAGAGAAAGGAAGAGCCCAACTCTGCTCTGTCCCTTGCCAAGCAAGCTATTAAAGAGCTTTCTTCCCATGAAGCCCAAGAGAGCTTCCAGCCATCACACTCTTAGTACTGCTTTGACTTGACCATGCTGTGAAGAATTTTTGCATGTCTGGCTGTGAACTGGGAGATTCAAAATGGAGTGAAGGGAGGAGAAGAAAACAATCAAGAGCGGGTTTTCATAGTTCTTCCTTATGGAAGAGTAGGGGCAACCACTTTAGGGAAAAAAAAAAAAGACCAGGAAGGATTGAAGAAAGAAATGATGGAACAGAGCTCACCACTGGACCCAAAGATCAGTAAGATTTCAACAGGAAACTGAAAGGCAAGAGCAGCAGACTGCCCATGTATGTGCCCCACTGCAGCAAATGAGTCAAGCAGGTAGAAGTGGTGACGTAAGAAAGATGAACTTGAACTACTAGTATGTGTGTGAACTACAGATAAATTAGACTGAAAAATGAAGCACAGCACATTATATATATTTGCACATATGAAGATGTTCACACTTTCAAAATTCTGTAACCAAAATTATTATACAAATGCTGCTAATTATTTTTCTTCAGACTCTGAAATAAATTGCTCAAGTTGGGTGTTACAATCAAATTAGAGTCACAAAGCTCGCAGATCCCCATTTAATTTGTATCTACAGAAAGTGCATTTAGAACAGGAACTGCCATGTAACCATTTCCCAGGTCCTATCCTTTGAAAAAAATGTCATTTTCACCCAGATTGCTCATCTTAGAAGAAGACGTAATTTGCAAAACGCGAATGAGAAGTTTGTCTGACGAAAGCTTCTACAAAGAGCTACTTAATGCATTTTTATGAAGGCTGATCATTTTTATTAAGCCTGCTACCTAATTTTACCCATGTGTAATTAGCACCAACAGGATACCAGCTTCAGCCCTGACAAGCCAGACCAGAGCTGCATTTCAGTTCCAGAACAGAAACTGTTGCAGAAGGATGCAGCTACTTCCCCAAAAATGTCAGGAAAATTTAAAGAAACATATCTTGGATTTTGGCACGCTTGGGGCAATATTTATTGCCCAGATCAGGACTAGAGTTAATCAGTTGAGTACCACCAGCTGCTTGCTGCTGAGAAGGCACAAAATGCCCAAAGCAGCTCTTTTAGGAGAAAAGCAGCACAACAGTCCCTAGCCTCAAGTCATAATGCCTCGATTCTCTTGTGTCCTGCTTCAATTCAAACCTTTGCAGGTACCAGATTATGTATTTTGTTTCGTTTATACCAGGTTATGTATTTTGATTCGTTTATTGTAATTAACAAAATGTGCCAAATTCCAATGTGCAGCTCACCTCACGCAAAGAAGTAGTTTCTCGTATAAAAAACATGTTGATTATTCCAAGATATTTGGTTATTTTTGCCCCAGGTAAAAAAGAGAGAGGTGTCATCTTGACAACAGAGACGGTGGAATTGGTGCATGATGGAGCAGAACGGTGCCGTAAGTGTCCCTCAGCCAGCGGGCTTGCTTTATCAAGAGAGGCAGCTAAAAAAGGCAGAAAAGAAAGAGAAAGTAACTACCACGTAAAGGTTACTTTTTCTTAAAACACAACAACTCTTCTTTATGGTTTCCAAATAGCTTGGTGACAACATTCAGCTGCCTGTGATGCTCAGCCATATCATGTGAGAAAGGAAATTACCATGCAATGCATGCAAAAGGAGACAAAAAGCTGAAATGGAATTTATTTGG